TTAGCCGTTCAAGTCCAGCATCGACGAACGACAAGTCGATGAACAGTGGGCTGATGCGGCGCACAGCAAAACGATGATATTGCGTGTGGGTAGGTGCCGCTCATGCGATATGAATGGAGAACCGCCATCCAGGCACGAAGCATCATGCGGGCCCGTGCTCTGGGTGCGCCAAGCGCTAAGCCTGTCAGAGGTAGATGTCACCTAAACCCTTTTCGGTACGAACACCAGGCGAACAGACGATTTCTATGTTAGCCACCGGTTATCAAATGCTTCATGTTCCTTCGTTCAATGGGTCCCGCCACATCATCGCAGGGTCAAGGTACTCAAGCCTTTCAAGCATTTCAAAACATTCTTGTATTGACTAGGTTGTGATCATCCCCTTTGCTCATCTATCTGATCATGCAGGGTGTTAACTGCCCACAATTATGACTTGTAGACGTGCATGACGTGCGGGTTGCAGTATGCAAGAAGACCGGTCTTGCCCCATTCTCCGCCGATGCCAGATTCTTTGTGTCCTCCGAATATCGCCTGAGGTGTTGGCTTCTCCCATGAGTTTACGAACACGGAACCGGCTTCGAGACGGCGCGCTACCTTGCAGGCCTTCTCGACGTCCTTGCCCCAAACACAGGCACCGAGACCAGTGTTTGTGTTGTTAGCGCGTGCGACGACCTCATCAAGATCGGACCACGGCTGAGTGGGCACGATAGGACCGAATGGCTCTTCTTGGATGATACGGGAGTCGTTGGGCGGGTTGTCGATGATCGTTGGCTGGATGAAGTACCCCTTTCCGGTGCTGACGTCGGGCTGGCCAGCGGCGAACTTGTAGCCCTTGGCCTTGCTGTCCTCGAAGAAGCCCTTTACGCGCTCGTACTGCATCTGGTTCTGAACAGGTCCGAGCAGGTTGTCGCCATCGTCTGGGTTACCGATCTTGATCGACTTGGTGAAGTTGACCATCTCCTCAAGGAACTCCTTATAGATGGACTCGTGGATGTAGATGCGCTTGGTGGCGACGCATACTTGACCGCTGTTCTGGAAAGCACCCATGACGACTTCAGGTGCAGTCTTCTTGATGTCGACATCGGGAAGGATGATGGACGCATCGTTGCCACCCAGCTCGAGTGTGACGCGCTTGAGGGTCTTTGCAGATGTCTCCATGACCTTCTTTCCGGTAGCGATGGAGCCGGTGAAGCTGATCTTGGCGATGTCGGGGTGGAGGCACATCTGAACACCGAGCTCATTGTTGCCGCCGACAACTTGGAGGACACCTGCAGGGAGGATCTCCTGTGCCAGCTCTACAAACTTCAGAGCTGTGTAAGGTGTGAAGGGTGAAGGCTTGACGATCATGCAGTTTCCGGTCATGAGGGCCGGTGCGATCTTTCCAGTGCTCAGAACGAGTGGGAAGTTCCATGGGCAGATGGCGCCGCAAACACCGAGAGGTGAGTACTCTGTGTAGATGGTCTTCTCCTCATCCTCAACCTTCTCAGAAGGGACGTCGAGAGTCAAGTGGTGACCGATGAATCCAGCAACGGCACCAACCTCAATGGCAGCAAATTTTCTCTGTTCGTATGTTAGCAAGGATGTCAATGATCCCAACAACGACTATGACGTACCGGCTTGCCAGACTCTTTGCACAGCAGGTTGACAAAGTCATCGGTGTGTTGCTGGTACGACTCGGCGACCTTGTTAAGGAGCTCCTTCCTCTTCTCAATCTGCAGAGGTAGAAAGTCAGTATATGTCTCACATGCACTTCGTACAGTCAGAACTTACCGGGGTATCTCTCCATGCGGGGAAGGCCTTCTTCGCGGCCGCAACAGCGTCGTTCAGGTCCTGCTCGCTCGCAATAGGTACATCCCAGAGTTGCTGGCCAGTTGCGGGGTTGATACCATGGTGAATGTTGTCTGAGCCGCGCTGCTTGCCGTCGATGACGTTGTAGAAGGTCTCAAAGTCGAGAGTCGAAACTTTTCCTGGAGACATGGTTGGGGCGATGGTTGTAGTTTTGGTGTAAGAGTTGATAAGGGTATCCGTTTGGCAGAGACAAGTCGAACGGGTCCAGGTCACTTCTTAAACGAGTCGAGTCGCCACGCGACTGTTCCCATCCTCGGTTGTACGCCTGTTGTAGCATCTTGGCTGAGACCCTTCGAAGTGGGGTCACAAACAGCAGGTTACCGCTTGCATCATCCCTTCCCCAATAAAATATTCTTCCCCGCTATTCTTGGGGCTTAGCTCGAGTGGGTGTCTGCCGCCTAGATGAGCCGTCTACCGTCAAATGAGCTAGCTATCGTCGTCGTCTTCCAAGATTTCCGAGTCTTTCAGTAGCTCCCGACGTCGGTCGGATTCCAGGTCGCAGTCGTTACTAAACACTCCCGGCAATTGCCCACCCTCTGCGCATCGTGTGTTTGCCCAGGCCGCTGCACCCCGCCGGGTCCATTGCGGTGCCTGCCGTATCGAGAAGTGGATTCCTTCCCCTTGAACGCGGGACAATCGCTTCACGTGGCTAGATCTTTTGTTGGAAAACGGACATCGCGACTGCCAAGGCCATGACTAGCGTTCGACGTGTCGACTTTGAGACTAGTTTTTTGCCTTTCTCGCTTTACAAAACGGACGAAGCTGTGTCCGCGTACTCTTGTGCTTCCCTTGGTGGATCGCGCAAGAGTTTCAGTGTTATCGTTCCTGCCGCGGCTTCTTGTCTTGCCTTACGATCATCACGTTAGTCAAGCGGGTGGATACGGGCTAAGGATCAACGACGCCTGTATGTCTCGCGGTGAGACGATAAGAGCTCGGAATAGTGAACAGGGCGAATAGAATGTTGTGGAAAGGGTATGAAAGCCAAGCTGATGTTGGAGGTTTGTAGTCGCGGTGCGATGTTCATGTGTCACCGCACCCGCCACATCATGCACATGCTGTGGAGAAGCTTACTGGTCACAGCGTACTGCGTGGATACTAACATGCAAGAGCCACAGGCTATGCAAAAAATTGATAAGATGCACAAGCACAGTCGACAGAGTGATGAGCGTTCGCAATTAGGAGAAAGAAAATTTTGATATCTCTACGTGGCACCAAGCGTGATCTACAACTACAATTTCCATAAGGCCCCCCTTTACACATACTCCGAGTATTTTCCACTAGCACTTTCTCCACTGCACGTACAGATTTGATGTAAAGCGACCAGCCTCCTTTGTCGCAGCAAGCACACCGCTCGCCGGTGTAGCAAATGGTGTCAAGGCGACCTCGCTGTTGATGTTGAAAGCGGCATCGCTACCACATGGTGACCAGACTGCAGCTGGCACGTTATCCTGCTTGAAGTATTTGCCATTGAAGGGACCTTGGATGCTCAGTGCTGATGTCGACTGGCTTTGCTGGCCGGAGAAGTAGTATGTAGACTTTACTACACCGGTAACACCGCCGTCCAGCTCGCCCCAGCCCGTGTAGTCTGCGCTGAAGATGGCGAAGGAGAAGCCGGGGGAGAATTCGAGCCCGAGGTTGATCTGGCAGTTCTTTCGTGAGTCTTCTGCGGCGTTTCCGTTACCGACTCGGGCTGTGAATTGTTTATTGAAGTCTGAGTGTGTGATTAGTAGAGAGATCAAGACGGAGTATGACGCGGTAGCGGCTTACAAATTGGCATGATGCCGTTCTCGGTCCAGTTGATGTCGATACTGCCCTGAGGGCATCCCGACCCACCGGACACAACGCTCTTGATTTTGAATGAATCTGGTGCTTGGTATGTTGGAGCAGCAATGGTGGCGGCCGCAAGGGCGAGGGTAGTAAGTATGTACTTCATCGTGTTGGTGTTTACTGATGTGGATCGAAAAGATAGAGCAGACTGATAAGGAGATGTAGACTGCGGAATAATGGTCGTAGTGTAGTGTTCCTACTCAGACTGTAGCAACCGTGGGATATGATCGTCTTATATGTTAACGTATTATCCGAGTACGAGACCTAGAACGTGAGTAGTACATCTTGACCACACCTACTGCGGAAAGCTCTTTGTGCAAACCAAGCAGTCTCGTGGTCCGTAGACATCGACATATAATTGGCTACCTTTTCTTGTAGGACGGCGAAAGATAGCCACTCGCTACCAACAGAAGACCTTGCATTCGCCTCTTGCACTTCTAGCTCGGAGATGGAAACAAAGATGGTAAGGTTGCCATGCTTTAGATATGAGATCTGCCCGTCGATATTGCTCGTAGACTTCCGTACGAGACAGCCGGCAAGCAAGCGAGACGATGCCGCGAAATGCAGGGCAATCTTGCTCTAGAACGTTCAGATCCTGGGGTAAAAGGCACGCGCTTGGGGAAGAGCCAATCCAAAAATAGTTGTTGTGGAAATTACCGTAGCGTGACAAGTACAAGACGGGTATGCAAGAGGCGAATGTTGTATATATTAGATTGATGGACCCGGTCGAGGTCACGAACCAGACGTGCGACGGCTGATTATGGGCTGGACTTCCTGGGAGAGTTTGAGAGCTTTAGCGAGCTAGTAGAATCAAAAGACTTTCTGCAGCCAGCAAAACGGTAGTGCGGAAATCGGAGAGAGCTTTTCTTCTAGCGTTCGTGTCGTTCATCAATGGCAATATCAGCGGTGCTCGTTGTTCGTCCCAGTGTGATTTGCGCGACTGTCCCCGAGCTGAAAGATGCATAATGTTTGTGCTAGCGCACTGTGGTCGAGTATAGGATTCCGACAGGGAGGCGTGGAGATAAGGTGTCGGGTAGCTGCTGTTGTTGGATGTGTGATCTGGATAAATAGGTTGGGAAGCCACGACATGGCAAAAGCAGCTAAGCCCGCACAGCCGGGAACCGGCAGGCTCAAAGCATGAGATAGCAGATTCAAAGATAATACAACTCAATATTTGTACGCGATGGCCATATCCTATGTAGCCCTGGTATCTCCCTTTCCCAATCCAAACGCGCTCCCGTGATACTGAACGCCATTGTAATACATTACGTTAATGAGAGTGTTGCGCCGAAACTATGCTGAGGTATCGTGATGAAGGAAATCGCTTATTAACTTGGAAAGACCTTGCGGAACACCCGCCGCCACCTCGGAATGCTCTCTTCTTCTTCCACATCACTAGCCGGTGCATGACGCGGACCAAGCATAGCCAATGCTCGTTGCCGTGCCCATTCTCGTCTGTTTTGTGTGGGACTGCAGTCTTGCGTGGTTTGTGAAGGTTGCGCGTTGGTCGATTGGTGATGCGTCGGGGCATCTGGTGGCGGTGTGGTTGCCATTTCGATATCGTGTGGTCGTGATTGCGTGCGCACAGGCGCACTGAAGATGCGCCGTCCAGATATGGCACCGCCTATCCTGCTACCAAGCGACCCAAAAGCCACCGGCGGTCGAGTTGGCGGTGCTGGTGCTGTGGATGCAGAGCTTGGTTGGGCGCTCGCTGTATGTGCACTGCGCGCCCGCATGCGGTTGATATGGCGCTCTCGCCGTACCATGACATTGGTGATCTTGACCGGACAAGCGCCAGCAGGCAATACGGTCTGCTTGCACATAGGACACAGCGAAGAGTGACTGAGGAGGAAGGTATCAATACATTCGGGGTGGAAAATGTGGTGGCATGGAAGCTCCCGCACTTGAGTCTCGTTGGCTTCGAAATCGTCCATGCAAATTGGACATGTAGGCTGAGACCACGCGGCCGACACGCCAGATGTGGGCACTGTGGGTGCAGATGAGCGACGGGATAACGGAGCCCCTTTGTGTCCAGTTTCCGCATCTACAGCGGCATGTAGCATTCCTAGTGTTTGATTCGGCGGCTGGAGTGTGGTCGCTTTCTCGGGCTCACTCGCAGTGGCAGGAGGAGTGTAGGTGTGTATGGGAAGTTTGTCAAGAACTTGTTGCGAGACTGTCAGGCGCTTGACGCCCAACGCTTCGAGGTCAACCTGGCCGTTGAGAACGCGCTCGCGGAGATCGTTGCGCCGTCTCCGTTGGATAATGTGCATGATGAGGGAGGTGATGCTGACAGCGACGAGGAGGATTGCGAGTACGATGACGAGGAAAACCCATAGACTTGGGAGCTGGCCACCGGAGTCTAAGCAGTGAGGTCAGTGGCATTCATGGATGTGAGCAGGCTGTACTCACCAGTACTGACGGTTGCCCATAGCCGCACATAGTCGGACGAGTTGTAGATCTGTGACAGTTCGGCGGCATGGGGCACTGAGCTGAGATTTCCAGAGTACTCGTTCAGCTGATCCATGATATTGTTGCCCGTTATTGACGACAGGGCGTAGGTGGGAAAGTCGTTAGCCGTCTGCCAACTACCGCCATCCTGAAGGTTCCACGAGGCATCGTTCAGCACTGGGGGCTTGGCGTTCGTGTCGCCTGGCTGGTATGTGAGAAAAGCCTTGGTGGGATGGTTGCGCGCGGCGGCGAAGTACTCCGTCGTACATTGCGCCGAGAACCAGGGCGCAACGGCGATGAGGGCGTAGTCCTTGTCGGTGGGCAGATTCGCTATCCGCGTCGCATTCTCGGGCACGTGAAGTCGTTCCTGTTCCCTACAACTATCTGTGCTGACATCGGGGACGTAGAGAATGCCGTAGGGGTCTTGGTTGCTGTCGACGCCCTTGGTGGACAGGGTCTGGATGTTGTTGAGGATGCGATACTGGAACGAGACGGAGTCGTTGAGGGTGATGAACTGGTTGTTATCGTAGTCGATCACGAGCGGATCCGGGAAGTCGATGGTAAAAATGCCAATCCGCTGGGCAGCTGTAGGAGGGTCAGCGTGGGTGCCAGAGGCGAACGGGCGGCAAGCCTGTGTGACGTACACATGTTGGAGCGACTGCGAGTGGCTACAGATGACAGCGCGCACTGGATGAGGGTTACACAGAGGTCGCTAGTACAGGCCGACTACAATGCATTGCTGGTAGAGCGTGTGTCGAGCGAGCGCAGAGAGGCAGTCTACCAAGAGGCGGCGATGATGATGGTGGAGCTGGCAGCGGGTGGCTAGCATTGAGGCTGGTCGGAAGCAACACGCAGCCGCCCCCTCCCGGATGGGATTCGACAGCCCCGGGCAGCACGTTAGCCAAAGCTTGATTCACTGGCGCGAACAGGAGATTGCGTCAAGAGACACCGCACAGCATGCACACAGGCCCCTCGGGCAATTACAAGCGATGCCGTTGTGCATGAATAGTGCTGAAGCGTCGCTAATGACGTTGGGCCGCCGACATGATCCATCTTATCGCAGCGCCCATGGGCTTTCGCGACTTGGCGTGTCCTGAGGCTAGCACGCCCCGGACCTCCAGGCCTGCCAACAACATGCATGCCCGCGACGGCCATGCCACCACCCCCGACGCCTGCTGCGAACCCCATTGAAGCACACCATCCGCCTGTAGAGCGCCCATGATAGCACGCCGGTAGCCTCCAGACTTCCGCCACCGCCTCGCGTCTGCCGTGCGCCGACGCGACTTCCTTCCCCGCATACCCCGACAACCCACTGCGACACGTCCAGTATGGCGCCCCCAGGCCTGGGTAGCAAGGGAAAGGCGACCAAGCCGGGCTCCAAGCCATCGCAGCCACCGCGCAGCCGGAACACAACGCCGCTCCCCAATGTGCGCGCCTCGGTCGAGCCTGCCGCGTCGTCATCGTACTTTGGAAACCGCCTGAGCTCATATCTCAAGAAGTGCCCTACTACCGTCGAGGATATTCTGGACGGCGGCACCAGCGGCTCGTCGATTCCATCCGGCAAGCAGCTCTTTCTTATGCGCGATAACATCGAGAAGAATGTCCTGAAGAACGTCGAATCACGCTGCGTGCAGTCCGAAGGTGCGCTGAGGGAGCTCATGAACAACAAGAAGAACCGCGCGCCGCGCGAAAGAGACAGGGAAAAGGACGGCGAGGAGCGCAAACACAAGCTCAAGAAAGTGAGCAAGAAGCACGACGAGGACGGAAAGCACCCGCCTGCGACCGGTGCCCATGGCCTGGCCAGGCAGGACGGTGGTGACGCCAAAGGTAAGTCCACAAACACTGGGCAATCACTCTTCCCTGCGACTCTACTTGTACCCATGCAATCACTCTCCACATGCACTACACTTTACATTCTTCAACATGGCTCCTAGACGCCGACAGTTGATCGTCAAGCTCAAGATCAGAGGACTCGACAGACATCTGACTTCACGCACAGAAAACTCCTCCGCCATCTCATCGCCAATATCCCAAGCCCCGCCGTCTGCTGCCGGCGGCGGGCCAGCCGATGCTCCCTCACCCAGCGGCTCCGATGTCTCCCACCAACCCGCGCCCGCCCCCGCCGTACCGCAGTTCCAAACCTTTGGCCCAGACCCCGCCAAATTCGATGACCCCACCATATACCATATACGCGAAGTCACCCCGGGCATGTCGATCGAGGAAAGGAAGGAGATTTACTGCGTCGCCGACTTTCCCAAGTCCAATCTCCGGGACAGGATAGCCGGGTCACCACCAGCAAAGGACTTCTCCAACGCAAAGCCCCCATCGCAGGTCAATGCCACTGTCTTCGCCAACTACGTTGAACCGTACATAAGACCACTTACCGAGGAAGATGTCGCTTTCCTGAAAGAGCGCGGCGACCGAGTAGCACCCTTTGTGCTCCCTAGGCGGGGCCCGCGGCATTACAAGGAGATTTGGGCTGAAGAGGATGGCTCTATGCACATAGACTCCAACGACCAGCGACCGCCGCCCAACGTCCCGCGCGGGGCAGCCGAAGACATAACAGACGATGTGCTTGAGACCGACCAGGTGTCTACCGGTCCTCTCTTGTCGCGCCTGTTAGCCACATTACGTCCCGAGGGCCGCGGCATTCAGAGCTCCCAACACGAGACGAACGGAATGAATGGAGACGCCATGGACATTGACGAAGGTGCAGGCGCACCAGCAGATGTCACTAATAACAACTCGATACCCGCCGCCGCCCAGCTTCCCGAACTTGTTCAGCCTAGTTGGAAACCTCCGCAACAAACCAATCGCACCGACTATGTTGGCATAGAAGATCGCGTGCTGATGGAACTCAAGCACTTTGGCCTGATCTCGGAAGCAGACGCCGAAGCACAGTCATACGATTCCCACTTTGACGACGAAGTAGCTCAACGGCTACGATTCCTGCAAGAAGAACTCCGCAAGCAGTCCATCATCAACGGCGCACGGAAACAGCGCCTCCTCGAACTCACCGAGGAGCGCATAGCCCAGCAAGAGTACAACACTATAGCTGACGATCTTGACAACCAACTCAACGCCGCATACCTTAAGCGCAACCGCAATATAGGCAAGGGCAAGAAACAAAACAAGCGGCCTGGTGGTGCGGGAGGCGGAAGCCATCCTGTGGCCAACGCTGGCATTTCGAGACCGGGCGTTGGCGAGCCAATACGCACTCTGATGGAGAGGAGACAGCAATGGATCAATACTATTGGTCCTGTTGTGAACTACGGCAAGACAGGGTTGCCGACGGAGACCATATTCGGAGAAGATAAGATGAAGGAGTTGGAAAACAGGGAGGTGGAGATCTGGAACACAGAGGCTGAAGAGTAGATTTCTCGGCTAGAATCGACCGCGGCTCAAAAGACATCCACTGATGAAGCGAGGAAAGAGGCGGTCTCTTAGTTGAAGGCGCAGTCCACTGTTGGAAAACGATCATGATGTTTGATGGCGCAGAAATGGCATATTCGGGCGGGAATTACTTGTAGCCAGTCTTTCGGCATTTTTTTTGTCCAAGCATAACCGGGTATGTAATGGCGTAAGGTGTTTACCAGGACCATACTGGCGGTCTGGTGTTATTGATTAAGTTTGCATAAGGCTGCGCTGGAGCGCCAGGCGTTGAGATCGGTTGATCTCTGGAAACCAAAGAGCCGCAATACTACATTTATCCCACGTGTCTATCTCTCGCACCTGTTCTTGTCCAACAAACACATCTGCAGCGCTTCCATCCTCCATTTCTCTTCGCTACAGCATGCCCACCCTTTCTGCTTCACCGGTTCCCGGCCGCGTGGAACCGCGCACATGGCCATGAGATTAGCGAATATCGAATTGGGCCGTCAGCCGTGAAGATAGTAACCTGGCTGACCACGTTTTCAACCCGCATGGGTTTGGCGGTTGCGGCGTGCATGTGCATGTGGAGGCTGTGTCGTGTGCTTTTACCTGGTGGGCAGGGGGTTGGGTAGGACGTCTCGAATGAGAATCGTCGCCAACACCAGAGCTTACGGGTGGGTGGGTTTTGAGCGAGCGAATAGCGGGAGGGGTTTCGCTTACATGTTCGGTAGCTGCATGCCGCGTGGACGAAATGGGCTTTGGGTAGTCTGAGAGGCTGCGATGGGTCATGGAATTGGTTTAGTTGTGGATGTGGTGGGCTCAATGTGGTAGTTTGCAGAAGATGGTGATCGATCAGATCGCGAGGTTATCGCAGATGAGGGTATGTCGCTGTTACGGCTAGTCAATACCGCCATGATGAGTGCTCATTGCTGTGAATGTTAGAAAGGGTTTAGTACTATTAACATACTCTCATTTCTGCTGTAAGCTTTCGACTCCCCTCCAGCTAGTGTACGCGGATTAAACACTTGGTCGTGCCATGCTCATTGTAGTCTACCTCTAGGCTCAGGTACCACAAGCTCCAAAGATTGTGCCCGACTCTTCGAGCTTACTTCGCAGAGCCGCACCCAAGAACTTCTATCGTTCCTGGCTAGAGAATTAATGCCATCCTATTCAGGTTATCTGATCCACGGAACAGTATCGCGACCTGCATATAGCAACGGAGGAGCTCCACCCGGTGCACAGCCGACAATCGAATAATTATGAGTGGATAACAGGCACACGTGGGCTCACCGTCATAGAGAAAACATGCAGAAGCTGTCAAGGATACGTAGAAATACGTTTATAGGAGCAGGATCGAAAGGCGCTGCAAGAGGAGGGTGTGCTGGCCACTAAAGTGGAGAGTTATTTTGAGCTGCAGGCAGCGCTTACCCATCTGGGCCAGCAGCAGGCTAGCCTTATGTACGTCGTCATTGGAAGGCACGATGGATCTCTGTATCGTCTTCGATCCAGATGAATGAATGTTCTCAACTTCCTCTCCTGTGTTAGAGTATGTTGCTGTATTACTATACATGTGCGACGTCTATCAAACGACTGCGCTCACCACATCGAGAGCAGGGTCGGGCCTGCGACATTGGACACACGCAGAGCTCTTGGGAAAATGCATGCAGCGACCTCACCTGCCGTTCGTCCGGTAGCCAGCATCAGCCGTTCATCTTGGCACACGTTTCTTCAAGAAAGCGCTGCGATGTCGTTCAGTATCAGAGTCTTCTGTCAGCACAATGCGGCTGACACATCATTTGTTCATTGGATGCTGCATCTGCACCACTATCAAGACGTATTTTCTCTCGCACAGCCGTCCACCACCTGCATTAGCCTCCCTGCTGGCCACTCACGCCACACCTTCACACCTGGAAAACGTGGTGTCAGGGATCAAGATAGCTGCAGCCGTTGACATGGCCGCAGACAGTATGCAGCATGCAGCGGACAGACCTCATAGAGACGTGTGTAGCTCGCTTGCCGGGTAGCAAGGTATGATGTGGGCGCGAGGGCTGAGACATGCGGGTGCGCTAATCATGGCAATGGTAATCCTGCGATGCAGCTTTATGCGAGAGCGCTAAATCTCACCTACACCACAATGATGCATTTGGGAAAGGTAAGAATATTCAGACAACAGTTCATATATAAAGGCGGCGGAGCCTCATGGAGCTGGAACTCGCCTGAAGGAATTGGTAGTACAACGCTCAGCTTACCTTTTACCCGACACCGACTCTTTGATAGAGGATGCCTGTTATATCATAATGTCTACATCATCTCGACCAATTCTCTGGAGATCTCCGGTCATACTTGAGAGCAACAAGACACCACTCAATATGTCTACACCTACTTCAGCACCCAAACCATTTACACCTCGACGGGACGGGAATCTGAAGCTCCGGGCTTCATGCGACGCCTGTGCCGCGTCGAAAGTCAAGTGCAGCAAAGAGCATCCGAACTGTGCACGCTGCCTCCAAACCCACACGAAATGCGTATACGGCGTCTCGAGAAAACACGGAAAGCCAGGCCGGGTGAGGAAGAGGAACCCAGATGGGTCTCCGTTTGTCAAAGTCACAAGGCAACGCCCATCACCAAGTGGCAATGAGTTCGGCGCATTTATGCTACAAACTCCTTCCGTTCGACGGACCGATTCGGAAGTCACGTCGAATTGGCCTTCAGACTGGTCGTCTACACCAAGCCTATCCACTCCTTCAGGTTTCGACTCCGAGACTGCACCTGAACCACCATACCCGAATGAAAACCTTCAAGATATTACCTATATGGACACTGATATCCTGTCGAGACAACATGTTCAGCCGGAACCTGTGTCAGCCACCGGGACTGACCAGTTCTTTCAAGATCCTTTCACTGAGGAACAGACAGTACAGTCGCAGTATCCCACCTGGGAGACTCTCAACGACTACATGGGTAGCGACGACGCAAACCCCATGGACTATCACCCTGGCGGTGCAAAGACCGTGGAGCATCTACGTTCGGCCTCCTCTATATCTTTCCCGTATAGTCCAATGAGCCAAACCGTAGGAGGTCATGATAACATGACATCCCACGCTGAAGTCGCGACAGACAACTGCCACAATTGCTATCCGTTGGCCTATTCGACACTCGAGAGCCTGCCACACGCCAGATACCCGGGCCACTCGAGGGACTCATTCGATGCCGTTCTTCATACTGTCCGATCAGCACGAGAGAACATCTCGCGGCTTCTCAGGTGTTCATGCTCGTCAGACCCACACCTTGCTATGCTATACTCTAGCATAACATCCAAGATTCTGGCCTGGTATCAGACCGCTGCTAGCATTAGTCGCGGACCCCGTACCAGCTACCCAGTCTCGGCATCGCTCCCTTGGAACTACTGCCAGCCTCTACCTCTCTCGCAGGCCGTTTTCTCCCCTTCGTCTGTGACGAGCATTGGGGACGCGGAAAATTACAATTTGTACATGCAGTCATCTCCGTTCACCCAATACAAATTTGATGATGGTGAGCAAGAGAGACATAGAAGACAGACAATCCTCAATGAGTTGCGAGGATGTGCGCAACTCGTTGAGGCACTGGCTAATTGGGGAGGTAATGGCGATACTTGCGAGCAGGCGGGGCACCTGTATGAATTTCTAGGAGGCTGGCTGAAGAGCCAACTGTGTATGATAATGAAGCAGATCGAACACAAAGAGTCTTCGACGGCTTGAGCTAATGAGGAGGATTGATAATCAGGAAAGGAATGGGGGGTGCATTGGAGGCATTTTGCTGCTGTTTAATAATCACGGTTTCCCGTGGCGGGTGGTAGTCGAGCTTATTACCTAGTAATGATAATTCGAAAGTCCTCATTTCTCATACTCTTAATGACAATAGGAAACACATCTCGTCGATGCGCGGATATTGAGACAACAGTGGCCTGTTCTGCGGCTGTGTTTGTCGAGCTGTGGTGGAGCCACCCCGGATTTCCCCAGTGCACGTGCACCTTCACATGCCTCGGCTCAAACCGCAGCAAGCATCATAGCACTGGCTCACATGCCAGGTACACCATCGCCAAACCTCCACGCCGTTGCGACCGAGAAATGACAGTCTCCCCAGAGAGGATGTACACGGTCAACAATGGCCGCTCAGTCTACCCTGCGACAGCCTCATGACCCGCTCCTAGCACTCTACGACCGCTATGCGACGCTCCTCAAGTCCCGCGTCCGCGGCGCATCCAAGCTCACGAAGCTGCTATCCACCATCACCCTCCTCTTCACCATTATAGGCACCGGATATGGAGGCACGAGATGGTACAAGAGCCGGCGCGCAGAGAAGGAGACCGGCCGACGGTTGCTGAGGAGGAACTCCGGACTGAGGAACAAAGATGGCTCCAGGACCATCTACGTGCCCTACCGCGACTCGACGTCCAAGGTGGTCATCCATCCCACCAAGCAAACCACATTCGATGCGCATCGCAGACTCTTCCTCCAGCCGCCACGCGCAGCCCGCATGGCTGACACGACCTCGAGCGACCCGCAAGCGCCGCCGCCACAGACGAAGCCGGGTCTCAACTTGGCCTTCCTACACCAGTTCCTGAGCCTCCTGAATATCATGATACCGCGTTGGAATAGCAAGGAGACGGGTCTGCTGGTCAGCCATAGCGTCTTCCTCATGCTGCGGACGTATCTGTCACTCGTCGTAGCGCGTCTCGACGGAGAGATCGTGCGCGACCTTGTGGCAGGCAACGGCAAGGCATTCCTGTGGGGCATACTCAAATGGCTTGGTGTCGGCACCTTCTCTTCGTACACAAACGCTATGATCAAGTTCCTGCAAAGCAAGGTCTCCATCGCATTCCGAACACGACTCACGCGGTACATCCACGACTTGTACTTGAACGACCATCTGAACTACTACAAGCTACAGAATTTAGACGGAGGTGTAGGCGTCGGGGCAGATCAATACATCACACAAGATCTGACGCTATTCTGTGCGAGCGCTGCGTCCTTGTACTCAAGCTTAGGAAAGCCATTTGTGGACCTATGCGTGTTCAACTACCAGCTCTACCGTTCTTTGGGACCGTTAGCACTGACCGGACTGCTGAGCAACTACTTCCTTACCGCGACAGTGCTGCGAAAGCTCTCTCCGCCTTTTGGCAAACTAAAAGCTGTTGAAGGACGAAGAGAAGGCGAGTTCCGCGCTCTGCACTCTCGGCTCATTGCAAATGCGGAAGAAGTGGCTTTTTACGGCGGTGACGAGATGGAAAAGCACTTCCTCGAGCGAGGATTCAAAGACCTCAAACACTGGATGGAAGGCATCTACAGTCTCAAGATCCGGTACAACATGCTTGAAGACTTTGTGCTCAAATATTCATGGTCGGCTTTCGGATACCTGGTTACCTCGCTCCCAGTCTTCTTACCTGAATGGGGTGGTGTAGGAGGCACACCTGAGCTACCTGGAGGAGAGAAATCGCACCGCGAGCGCAGCCGTATGAAGGACTTCATCACGAACAAGCGACTCATGTTGTCGCTTGCCGATGCCGGCGGTCGCATGATGTACAGCATCAAGGATCTTTCTGAGCTGGCTGGCTACACATCACGCGTCTACACCCTAATCAGCACTCTCCATCGCGTCCACGCAGAAGCATACTACCCTCCGCCCGGCACGCGACCCGAACTCTATTCCGTCTCCGACATTCAAGGCACAGTCCACAAGGGCTTCGATGGAATCCGCCTCGAACACGTTCCAGTCGTCGCCCCAGCCCTGCACCCCATGGGCGGCGAAGAACTCCTAGAATCCCTATCCTTCATCGTTCACTCTGGCGAGCACCTTCTCATTACCGGACCTAATGGCTGCGGCAAGAGCGCCGTCTCGCGCATCGTCGCCGGGCTTTGGCCCGCATACCGCGGTCTTGTGAGCCGTCCTCGCAGCATCGGCGTAGACGGCATCATGTTCCTTCCCCAACGACCCTACCTCTCCACCGGCACCCTCCGCGACCAAGTCATCTATCCTCACACCGATGCCGATATGAAGGATACAGGACGTCGCGACTTTGAACTTTCTCAGGTCCTTGAAGAAGCCAAACTGGGCTACTTGCCCGATCGTGAAGGCGGCTGGGACACGAAGAAGGTGTGGAAAGACGTCTTCAGCGGTGGTGAGAAACAGAGAATGGGTATTGCGAGGCTGCTTTACCATGAACCGCGATATGCGTTTGTCGATGAAGGTACAAGTGCAGTCAGTAGCGATGTGGAGGGCCTACTCTACGAACGCGCTAAGGCCAAGGGCATAAGTGAGTATCCAGCTACGCCATCTCCATCAAGACTTTGACTGACTCACACACTCCCAGCATTGATCACGATATCCACGCGCGCATCCCTAAAGCGCTACCACGATTACACCCTAACCCTCGGTATGGGCGACCACGGCGACGAATGGGACTTCCAACGTATAGGTACCCAGTCTGAGAAGTCGAGCGTCGAGAAGGAGTTATCAGAGCTGAGAGAGAGGCTGGCAAAAGTGGAGGAGTGGAAGAAGAGACGAGAGGAAATCGAGGCAGAGTTGAATAGGGTGTGGGTTGAAGGCAAGGACGAAGAGGGCGAGACCGAAGAACTTGCACCCCCACCATACTTGGCACGAGATGAGAATGCCGACACAGAGAATACAGACGAGGATGATGTTGGCGATAGAGACCAAGAGGAGGCGGTCGAGAGTGGAAGTGAAGGTATCTCGCCGTCCAGCTAGTCTAGGTATCGGAACAGATCATGTCCCCCACCACAACTAACCTCTTGTCACCCCCGACAATGATACATGCATATTTTCGGCTTTTCTCCAGAGTACATGATGATGGCAAAAAAAAACGAAGAGAAAATAGGCAAAAACATACAACAGCGCGTATTCGCTTCTGGTCACCCACGAGAGCTACTAGTGCGCCGTTCACAGGCTTAAGTACCGCTGAGCGAACGGGAAGCGCTATGATCCTGAAACTATGGTCGTATGTGAAGATTTTGGCCGTCAAATTGGATTATAATGTGCAGAGTTGGGTGCGGTCAATCTTTGCTTCAACCATGTCCCCCGGCTGCTGACAGTGCGACCACTATCTGCTTATCGCGAGTCATTTGGCATAAGCGATTAGGGACACCAATAGAGGTGACGTGAAAGTGGAGTGGCTCAAAAGCTTTCATTTGTTCAACTGTAAAGACCACAGTGGTCGTGTAGTTGCCTGGCCCTAGTATCCCGTTGTCTCGTGGGACAAAAGCAATCATGTATTCTCCAACCCGATTTTCCGCGCACATAGAGCGTCATGCCGTCATCAACACGATCAGGCCGGAGGTGCTGGGTGATTGTGATACCTTGAGCATACCTGAGGCTTGATGTACGTGGCCCAGTTGTTCTTGCCGTAAGGCAAATTTCCATACCCTGCACTTGACGGAATTGGAGTCTTGCCAAGAGCCATGAGAGCCATTAACATATCTCCGAGGAACTCTTTAGGATATTTTGCCAATTCTTGTAATCGTTGGATTGGGTCAACGAGTTCTACGAAACGATAATTGTCGACCGCGAAATCCAAGAGAGCACGGCGCAGAGCTGATTCTTGAAGCGTGTTTTCGTAGACGTAGTCGAGCTCATGGTTTGGGAACATCCACTTCTGCTGCATGTTCTGGATAAGTAGGTCGATCGCGGTGTTGCAGAGCTCAGGAGCTCCTCGGGCGTCGCCAAAGACGTAGATCTCAAAGATGAGTTTCATGCTTAGAGGAACTTTCCCTGACGCGTCGAGGGCCGAGTAGAGCTTCCCTGTATAGATCCAGCTAAAGAACGCCAGGAAGACCTCAGGGTTATCATCCTCCAGATTGACGGTTTCAGGCGTTCTCCAACAACTCTTCAAGGCAGCTTTGAAGTAGGATGAATAGTGCGCAAGGAGGCCTGAGTAGACATGAAATTCGCGCCTGTCGTCCTGTTTACCGACTGTAACCTTGACTATCGAGCCGTAGTGGTCTCTGTTGTATAGATTAGCAACTTCCACAGATATTCAGCCAGTCTTGTGCTTACGGGCTAGGTGGAGCAGCCACGGTCTTCGAGCATCGGGGCAGCTTGAGCAACGGAGTGACGTTTGGGGGCTCCTCTTTCTTCTCGGGAGTCGCCATCGCGAACGGTTGTGGTTGTCGTGGTATGTGGCTACAGTCTTGATAGATATCTCAATGGATGAGATTGATGTGACGGTGACGGTGAAAAGTACTGGGCCTAGTAGCGCGGTCTTGGCAGTGAGCTGGAAAGGCAGGAGCAACGGACAGGGTCCAGCAGGCGGTAACGAGCCGGGTTCACCGACTAGAGACTACCGTCTGCTTTTCGCTTTGAGGTATACATATCATAAACGGTTGGAAATTACTCACCGTTCGGACCGATGTGGTTCCCAATGTCCACTCTGAGTGGCGGGCTCTGGATTACACCCTTCGACATCCGCAGCGGTCCTTACACAGCATAGCCTCTTTCTCCTTACCAGATTGCTCAAATGACTGAAGGAAGGACTCCGTAGCTTCGGATTCGTAACCCCGTTGTTCATGCTGACAGCATGGCCAAATAACTCTCGCGCTAGTCATACCTACTCTTTCACCACAGTTGCAGTACTTCTTTGATGTGATTGTACACTAATCTCATTTCTCTTTCTCCCTATCGGAGAAAACGCCAGACCATGCAAATGCTACTCGCTCTTTCTACGATTGTACAACTACTAATACATAATTTTTCCCTTTTCCAACACGCTCGCTAAACCCCAAAGTCGCTCAATAGAAAGAATTGCGTATTACTAGTATTTCTTCTTTCTGTGCCGCACATGAGGATCCTGTCCCTTTCGGTTCCTCTTCTGCCGGTCCGTTGGCGGCCGGTACGGTTCTTTGCCGTACTCTTCCCGGTACAGGCTAAGCATGTACTCATCGACGTGTCTTCGCTCCTTCTCGTTGCCATCGACATCGAGGTCTTCGTTCGCTTTGGCGGCAGCGGCGGCCTCCGAGGCGGCTCTCGTGGCGTTCAGACTCTCGTTGAAGTCGACTTGGTCTTCTTGAATCTCGTCCACAATCTCCTTCTGCGCGATGGAAGCTGCCGTGCGATCCTCGGTATCCTCCACTGTGCCCATGACGCGTGCGTCACCCAGCAGTCCAATCTTCTCGCCGAGCACACGTTCCATGGCTGCACCCGCTTCGTCGTTGGTGTCGATTCCTAGGTTCTCGTCGAGTGCATCGCGCCAGGTGACTTTGTTGAAGGTGTCTGTGGTGAAGTCACCCTTTTGGATAATGACGTCGTCGAGGAGACGTTTCTGGTTCGACTTGCGGAGGATGTTGGCTTCGATGGTGTATTCGCTGACGAACTTGTAGATGTGCACATCGCGCGTCTGACCGATACGATGAGCTCGATCTTGACACTGCTTGTCCATCGCGGGGTTCCAATCAAGGTCGTAGAAGATGACGCTGTCCGCACCTGTGAGATTGATACCGAGACCACCAGATCGAGATGACAGGATGAAGCATAAGATGCGGGGGTCACTGTTGAAGCGATCGGTAAGAATCTGGCGCTGCTCGATCTTGGTAGACCCGTCAAGGCGCAGGTAGCGATATCCATGAATGTTCAAGAATTGCTCGAGAATGTCTAGAACCTTTGTCATCTGGGTGAAGATGAGCGCACGGTGGCCACCAGCCTGTAGATCTCGAAGGAGTGTTGCAAGACGCTGAAGCTTGCCACAGTCGTATTGAAGGAGACGCTTGTCCGGGAAGGCGATCGATTGTCGGATGCGCGAAGAATGGAAGGGGTCTTTTTCGTGTGCTGCCTCCGACGATCGAATCAGCTGGACACCGCGCCTGGATAGGGTCAGAGTTGCTAATTCCTCGGCCGCAACGGCAGGCGTAACGCATGTGAAGCGGGTAATGAGAGGCTCCATAGCCTCAGCACGCTGCTCCAATGTTGGGATCATATCATAGAAATGGGTAATTTGTTGATCGTGCCAATGCGACAAGACACGATGAGAGCGCGGTGACCTGAATCCGAGTAGACCATGATGACGTTGAACGATGTCATAGTGAATCGTTTCCTCTTGTCTTGGTTGCATTTGAGCCTGACCGAAGCCGTGGTAGTTGGGATGTGGAGTGTGATGGGTTCGGTAGAGGAGAGGCTTAGCCACTCTCTTCCCTTCAGTGATAGCCCCAAATGTAAAATCGTGCCAATTGACGGTCAGTGCGTCAATGATGTCCTTTCCGTAAATCGGCATAAACTGGGTGCGCGCGCGAGTAAGGTTAAGACATGTTTGCAAATGGTCCCGAACGGCCACTTGCTCTCGCTTCGCCATCGCTGCCATAGTCGCTTGTAGTGAAGAAGTGCCCTTGTCGATGGGCTTGTTGATGCGCCGTGTTTGGCGCTCGATCAGATCCTCCAGGGGCCGTGTGGCGCGGATAGGGTAGGTGCGTCTAGCATGACCCAACTGCGTCTGTTCCCGTCGCGCAAACACCAAGTTCAAGGCGTCTAGATTTACTTGCTTATCTTCCATGCCCTCTTGCAGTCGCTTCCTGATGAGAAGGTCCTTGATCTCGTACTGAGCAGCGACTGACTTGGGCATGGCCATGGACGTTACAATGGCTCGTGTTTCGAACAGGTCGGGGTGATTGCAGACTTTTCGTAATGACATTAAGCAATTGATAATCGACATGTAGTTGCCGGAGGACAGGATCTCCTTGGTCGAGGCGCGGCCCATGAACCCATCGTAGAGCTGCCGTTGCCGCTTGGAAAGCTTGCAGTAGACCACGTGCTCATACTTCCCTGGCATTTGCTTCTCAACCTCTGATTTCAGCCTTCGAAGCAAGTAGGGGCGAAGGACTTCGTGAAGCCGCTTGACAACCTTCTGCGCTTCCGCATCAAGCTGCTGCCGACCTTGATCGAGAATCTGCGAAGTAGGATTCTTGAGAGCCAAGGTAAACTCCTCCAGTCCCGCGATGCGACCTTCCCCGGCAAAGCCAGCTGGCATTAAGAAGTAGAGCAGCGACCAAAGCTCATCGATGTTGTTTTGTAGAGGCGTACCAGTCAGTAACAACCGTCGCTCTGTTCTAAGATTAAGCATAGTCTGCCATCGTTGAGACTTGAAGTTTTTGATGTTGTGGGCTTCATCGAGGACCAGGTAACGCCAGGGACGCATCTTGAAGGCTGCTGCGTCTTGGAGGATGAGCTGGTAGGAGGTAATGACGACGTTGTACATGTCCTTGCCAGTGTTGCGCCAACCCATGCGCTTTCGTTTTCGCTCATTGATGTCGCCATAGTATGTCAGAATCTTGAAGCCTGGCAAGAATTTCTTGAACTCCATCTCCCAATTGAGCATGACACTGGTGGGTACGACGACTAGATGTGGTCCCCATATCTCGCGACGAACGGCGAGGTAGGCGAGAAGTGAGATGGTCTGTATAGTCTTGCCCAGACCCATCTCGTCTGCGAGGATTCCGTTTGTCTCGGATTCGTACAAGTTCGCCAGCCAGTCCAAACCATCGTGCTGGTACTCTCGGAGGGTACCGCGTAGTAAGGACGGCACCTCGGTCCTTGGTGGGGATGATGTATGCCGTGATCGAGACGCGCTTTTAGAATGTACTACATCTTCCATCGGAGTTGGCTCAGCTGCCTCGACGGTAGGAGCAGGTTCTGTTTCAGAATGCCCGTTCACATGTGGCTCGTCTACTTCAGCGACAGAATCATGACCATTCACATGTGGCTTCTCCTCGTAGACTTCCGCGGGCGATGTAGCATGGCCATTCGCTTGTTCGGGCTGAGTTGTCGGGTCTTCCGGTTCCACATCGTCAATCGCGGTCTTGGCGGCCTCTTTCAGTTTCTTGATGTCTTTAGGTGCCAAGAAACCCATCATGCCTAAGTCTTCTCCCTCACTCTCATCCTCGTCGTCTTCTTCCGAGCCGGCTTCTTCATGACCATCACCCTCGCTGTCCGAACCTTCGTTGCTCGACCAAGCTTCACTACCAGATTCCGAGCCCTTGTCGTCCTCAGAATCGAGCAAAGCATCATCAACCTGATCGAGCTCCACTGTAGCAGGATCAATATAGTCTGGCTTCTGTTTATCCCCATCTTCTTCGTGGTCGTGAAAGCCGTTGGTCTGTTGAAATTGGTTCTCTGGAAGCTCGTTCGTGTTGTCGACATCGAGGTCGGGATCGGGTGTTGGCGCAGGAGTGCCCTCTTCGGAATCAGCGTCGTCATCGTCTTCGCCGTCGTTTGAGTTGACCTCCGCCTCGGAGCTGCTCCCGGGGAGATCGGGAAGTTGTCCGTACTTCTCGCGTAGTTGTTCGGCCGTGAGGTTCGCATCTTCGTCCTGCTCGTTCTCTGGTTCGCTATCGGAGCTGGAAGACATGACATCGTCGTCGTGCTGTTGTTGTGAGGCATGCGACACCCCGCTTTCGGATTCCATCTCATCGAAATCGCGGTCTTCGCTGACCAAGGATGAGGCCCCGTCGCCAGCGTTACGACCACCCAGAATCTCTTGCGCTTGATTAAACATGTCGTCCATGGCCTTGTGTCCGAGCTGCAATTGTTCCTCCTCATATTTAGCCACACGCTCCTTGTCGATCTCAACCCTGACCAAGCCCCATGCGTCCTTGACATCCTTCACGAGCTGCTTGTATCTCGTCACTTGCCGCTCGGTCTCTTCCTGTTCGATCTCATCTTGGCTCTTGCGCTTGAACTTGTTCTTCCAGAAGTCGTATGCTTCTCTGGCCAAGATCTTAGCCGTCCGCCGATGGAATGCCTTTTCCTCCTTCAATAGCTTGTTGAAGTGCAGGGCATGAGCGACCACGTGGTCCCAATGTCCGTATTGTGGCGGTGGCTCTGGGGCTGCTTCAGGCGCATATACGCTGCATCGTGCCTGGCTTAGAACTCCATGTTCAGCAGCCTCGACAATCTGCAGCCGGCGCTCGGCCTCTTCCTCGGCCTTTTCCTGTGTGATCCGAAGCGCCTCTTCGCCGTCTAACGGGTCGTCTTGTCCTAGCCACTCTTCGAGCGACGCGTACTCTGACTTGGGCGGGGCATGGTGGGGATGGCGGTTGGGAGGGTCGGGCTTTCGCAGTCGCAGGCGGAGACGAGGGGCAGGCATAGATGGGTTCGAGTCGTCGGGCGATCCATACAGGCCGGCGTAGGGGTCGTGTCCGTTCGTTTCGGCATCGTCCATGGGCTCGTCACCTAGATCATCGGTAAGTGGCTGCGCTCCCCTCCGAGAGCGCCCGACCCGCTTGCGCGTGCCTTCGGGCGACCCATTCTGCAGTGCTGGCGACGTGACGGGCGACGTTGTCGCAAGTGCTGGAGGCTTTCTCTGGCGCTCAGACTTGCGCGCCGGCGTTGCCAGAGACTGTGCGGACACCTTTTTGGGGATGGTGGATGGCGTCTTCCCTTTCGAGACAGACATGGGTCCTGAGCCATTGCGCGACTCTCGCTTGACGCCGTTCTTAGGGGTGCCGTTGGTCTGCGTCGCCTTGCTGGCCGGGCGAGAATTCCGCTTTACAGGTTCCGGCGTTGGCGGTGCAGCGTCCTTGCTCACACGTGATGATTTCCTGACACCATTCTCGAACACTGTCGTCGGTCCATCAGCCACAAATGACTTCCAGGGCGGCGATGCGGCGCGTGATGCTGAGCGGCGCGGCGTGGTATCTTCGAGTTTCCGCCGTTTTGGCGGCCGCTCAATGACGCCACCATCATCGCCATTTACAGGTGCCGGCGGATGTTCCTCCTTGATCACAGGTGCGCTGTCGTTCTCGCTCTGTTCGCCATTGTGTGTGATGTCGGATGGGTTGTGTGCGGCGGCCGAGTCGCGTGGTGGGATGGAGTCGATGTCGCGATCCGCGGCGGTAACTTCTTCCATTCAGGAAGGGCGAGAGCGGCGGCCTGGGGAGCCTGGAGACACCCGGCGCGCGGCCAAATCGACATATATCAGCTCGAATTCGGGGTCGCAAGATAGCCTGACGCGTGCTGGTGACGGTGATGGGGTCGGATTTCAAATTCGAGTTCGCGTTGGGATGATGCGGTGTTATGTCGAAGTTGTGAGATGGTAAAAACAGAGCCGGCGATAATGTTTAGTAGGGATCACGCTAAATACCGGCACGGGCGCGCATGCCATCCCTTTGACGTGAACGACGGCGGAATGCTGGATATCACGTTTGAGAATGTTGTGACTGAGGCTGTCTAAAACCTCCGCAGATTCTTTCAGGCAGGCGTCGGGTTGCTCAGTCGCGTAGACGCCTTTCGTGTCACATCCATGACCGGTCGTGGTACTACGCAGAGCAGTTAGACCCACTTCTCCGCCAAGCATTACCGGGGCCGCAACTGAGCTCATCGCGAACGACACATCAATACTGCAACCCATCCAATCCCCGCAATCGCGCCGCAACGTACGAAGACACCGAAGACACGCATCGCGCAAATACTCACTCGGCTCTAGCATGTTCCCCAGGCGCATTGTAGCGGCACGCCCGCTGGCTCGAGCCGTCGTCCCCGCCGTAGCCCGGCCACGACCCCAATTCACCCAAATCCGAACCGCTCTCACCGACGCTGAGAAGGCCCACGCTGAGCTCACAGACCCGAACCAAGTACGCCCACTTTTTCTAGAGAAGGCAGGAAGGACCTAGTGCTGATGGTTACAGAACGGCGGCTACATCAACCCTCCCGCTGAGAAGCGAGGAAACCGCGACCCGTACGGCGACTACTGGGACAAGCAAGAGCGCCGCAACTATGGCGAGCCCTGCCACGAGGACAACGATATCATGGGTGTACTAGCGCTCCACGACTACAACCACTTCAGCCCCCAATGGGGCTTCGTCCTACTGGGCACCTTCGTCGCCTCTGTCTTCGGACTCTGCGCGGCTGTTGGTACTTTCTACCCCGACAAGCTCAGCGCGCCCAAGACATACCCAGATGGTCTGGAGGCTGAGCTGGGTGGAAAGGGTGCATTGCTGGTAGGTATATCGTGGACTATTGAGGACTATTGCTAACAGTGTATAGGCAAGGAAGCCCGGTGAGGGCTGGTAAATTGTATGCAGACTCGACTGACATGTACATACAACCCAATGGGATTCTCTTTGTCAATTCAATACCCGTTCACATCTTAGGCTAGTTTGATTTTGAGCTCCATCGCCAATCTAGTCTCAAATACTAATGCATTCATCCCGTTCTGGTTCGATTGGACGCTGATTCGAGAGCCTGGAACCACCTCGTCGATGCACCACTCTGCGCTGCGTGCAGGATAATGCGTCTCGGCATCCTACGACACCAATCCAGGGGCACTGCTCGCCACTACGTCATCGCAGCAATCCAGGAGCACACCCTCGTGGGCCCCATGCATTCCGCAATCCATGCCCAGGCCATGAGGGAACTCAAGTTCCAACTGGCCACGGACTGGTCCACCCTTGTTGCATGCTCACTTTGTCGGTAACTGCCCAGGATACTCGCTAGGATCCGATTGGTCAACCCACATATTTATACAAGCAATTAACAGGACCATATACGGCAGTTGACTTTAGAACCTTCTATAGGAAAGGATCCTTCGATGAAACTACCCGACATGGCGAACCGTGAACATGATGTGGGGTGAGTTCCATGTGGAGACCTTGCTTCGAACGTCACTCATGATATATTATGAGACTCATGTTCCACAACGGCACGTTCCTTGAATCCCAACATCTAAACTCCATTTTCTCGTTGTCATTGTCCACTTGGATCGTTCAGACCACTTGATCGTCAGCATGTACTGGTCCTCGCTCACGCTCAAGCTCACCTCTTTGTTCCACAATGTTGCAGCATCGCCGGCTCACGACCTCGAGGCCCGACAATTTGCAACAGCGGCGATGCTACGTTTCCAATGCTCTCAACTAGTCTACGACCGTATCGATCCACTTGTCCAACCCGGCATTGCACCTTCAGCACATATGCGTAAGCGATGCCCATATACTACCTTGATAAAGTATGTATACTAAATTTGCATGTCATCGTCTAGACCAGATCGTTGGCGGAAACGCGTTCAACGTCTCCATGCCACCGCTCGACCTCGACCCCAGCACGGAAGCCACTTGCACAACCTGCGATTTTGCCGAAGACCTCTCAAACTACTGGACCGCGAATCTCTACTTCAAAGCGCGTAACGGCACCTTCCAACGCGTCCCACAAATGGTCAACTTGGGTCTACAAGGCAGAGAAGGCGTTACAGTGTACTACATTCCGCCATACGACGGGAAAAGTACGGTGACCGCGTTCCCCAAGGGTTTCAGGATGTTGGTTGGTGATCCAGGCTTAAGAGCTAAGGAGGGTCAGCAGAAACAGCTCTGCCATCGTTGTTTCACGAACAAACAGCAAGATCCTTTTGGTGGAGCACCGTGTATTGGAGAATTCGACACAGCGAGCTTGCCACCGGGCATGTGTGGGGGTGGGATCAGAACGACTATTACATTCCCAACGTTTGTGGACTCTATTTCACCTGGCTTCGAGCGTATCGCTAATCTTGAATATAGATGCTGGGATGGCAAGAACGTTGATTCTCCAAACCACAAAGACCACGTCGCGTACCCTACATCTGGCTCTTTCGAATCTGGCGGTCCTTGCCCATCGACTCATCCAGTAAAGATGCCTCAGCTCATGTACGAGGTCATGTGGGATACTACACCTTTCAATGACGCGGCTCTCTGGCCTGAGGACGGGTCGCAGCCGTTTGTTTACAGCATGGGCGATGCGTGAGTGGCGTGCAGCGACTGTGGGACAACGGCACTAACTATGTGTAGGACTGGCTACGGTCAGCACGGTGATTATGTCTTTGGCTGGAAAGAGGGTGCGCTGCAGAAAGCTATGGACCAACGCTGCTTCGGGAACACATGCACGGGGTTGACGACACAGGCTGCCGATGTGTCGACCAAGTGTGGGGTACCACAGGCTGTGAAGGAGCCGGTTGAAGGATGGCTCGATGAGTTGCCTGGTGGTCCAGTCGTGACCTATGAGTGATCCGGGTCAATCAAACTGAACCGTGGGAGGGTAACGTACAAACGTGGGCCGAACTTATACCTGCAAGTAACCCGACATTCGTTGTACTATGTTGACGTCTATAGAAGAACCATTATTTCGTTAATAGCATATCGCGCTCGCTTGAAAGACTCTCCGCTGGCTTTTTGGAAGATTTCCTATCAAAATTGTCCAGTGGTCGTGTGGTGCGCAGACACCGGAACGAGCAATCGGCCGCTCACCGCGGTTGGATTTTCGTTGTCATACAAACGGCTGATCTTGCAAGGGACCCGTCCGCACCCTCCACTCCCACCAATTTTCATCATAACCGCCATGCGTCAATGCGAAGAAGACAAGGTGAGCCAGAAGAGGAAGGAGCGCCAAAGGCGCGAAGCGAATGTTGCGCTTTCGCATGTTATCATCCACGAAGATCCTGCAGGAAAAGATGAGACACCAGTACCCGGACATGATGAGAAGCTACCGGCGAAAGACGTATCGCCAGATCCTTCTGACGCTGCTCAGTCACTTCGCCCTCTACCGCAGATCTCGCGCAAAAGACAACGCGAGCCTAGTTGCGAGTCACGAGACCCGTCACTTAAAGAGTCGATTGTGGATACATCACAGCGTGATTCCACCGACGTACACAGCCCGTACTCAGAATCAGCAACCGCCCCATTGGAATACTACATTCGCCTAGCCTCAAAGTCCATGTCGCTCCCAACTCCTTCCGACTCGTACTTCACCTCACCAGAGCACGCGCCAGTACTCCACCGCAAGCGCGAGAACAAGATCATAATGTACACAGGCTCCTTCAACCCACCGCATCTTGGTCACTTCGAACTGGCCTTTCATACATTCCTACGTAGCTCCTCCACCACCGTCGCCGTCGTCTTCCTTCCATTTCGCGATAAACTCAAAGCGAAAGATGGCGCTATGGTCAACGGAAAGGTCTTCGCCACTGAAAAAGAACAAAGAATCGCGCTACTACAAAACGACCTACTGCAGCGCTGGACTTGGTTTTACAGAGGCCATCGCACAGATTTCGAAAAATACGGGGCTACTCTGATCAGAGAAGCGAAGAAAGACGGATTCCAAGTTTCCTTTGTAGTCCTAGCTGGAAGCGATAAATTCGAACGCGAAAAAGTCGAAACAAAGCCCTCTTGGCTCATAGGATGGGGAGAAATAATCACCAGCGACATTACACGGCCGTCTAGTCTGTTCAAGGGTCCAATGCATCCGCCCAGACGGCTACCTGGATGTAGATCTTGGCGTTTGATCTCTACACCAACCAGCAGGAAGGGAGACTTCAGCTGTGAATGTGGAGGTGCGAATCATGAATGTCGCATCTCTCTACGGATTCAAGAGTACTGCGGTGGGCATGCTGCTTTGGAAGGCGAACCGCATGTCCGATCAAGGCAAGACAGTTTGCTACATGAGATTCTGGTAAGATGCCATGAGGGAGTGGGGGCGACATGGGTTTGCCACAAGAAGAGTGGGGGTACAGTGACGTTTTTGGGTAGTGGAAGAGATACTGAGGGCGATGAGAAGAGAGAAGAGGTTAGTTCTTCGGCTATCAGAAAGATATTGGTTTGAGGTGGTAATCGCGAGGAGATGTCGACAAAGTTGGAGAAGGTCATGATGAACCCAGAGTTACTGCTACACTATCTTGAATCGGATGGATAAGCAACAGAGGAGCCGCAGATCGCGATACATCCTCAACACCCTCCTCAATCTAATCCACGGATTATATAGAACTACCAGATCTTCGCCAACGCCTCAAGCCCTTCAATGGAAAGCAGGATAGCCATGCTCTAACATTTGTGGTATTGAACGCCAGTGAAATGGTCATCAAAGTCCATCGCTCCAGAGGCAAGTTGAACATACTTTATATGGGGCTTGCAAGTATTCAAGATAGCCTTCATGTCTCGGGCGAGATCCCAACATGCAGCGCAGAACATGGTGTCGCGCTAATATAAGTAGTCAGAACAACTCTCCAAGATCCAAAAGCCAAGGAGCTTGGCGACGAATACATACCTTGTTGCACAAGAAGAGACCGCACGTGTATGAGCAGCTAATCATCGCGCAGTGCTCGAATCCGCCGTTGACACAGCACTTGCGGTCATTGAGTTTTCGGAGCCAAAACCAGCCATCATGACAAGAAGTAGCTCCAGTGACGTCCGTGCCCCAGTCGCAATTGAACTGTTCATGATGAGATCAGAATGCGTTGTTAGCGAGAGAAGGGTAAAAGAGGCTTACAGTTGATGGCTTCTCAATACCGAGCTTTTCGACGACGTTCTCTGCGTTCACGTCGGAGGAAGCCCCAGGATTGATCGCCTGGATCTGCTCGTGGATGGATTTCGCTGTGCCCTTGAAGGTGATACCGGGGAACCGGTCATCGGTCACCTCTAACTCCACGATAGTCATGCCATCGGCGGATGTCTGAACACTGGCTTGGTCTGCTGGAATGGCCGTGGCGTTGCTCTATTGGTCCCGTTAGTCAATGATACCTACGAGGAACCTCTGCAAGTGGTGGGAAGCAACATACTGTGCAAGCCAACAGGCTCGAAACGGCAATGAGGGTGGCGAAGATGATTTTCATGTTGGTACGAGATGCGTCCGTGGTCTACGAATAAGGTAGAGGTGAACCTCTCAGCGGGTTGAGTGGACTCTTTTGCGGGGGTAAGATGGTGGAACAGCAACGGAGAGACAACATGGGTCCATCTATATCAAGAGGTCTCCACCGTTGTCAAGCCTTCCCTCACTTTTAGACCCACACCGATATCATTTCCCTATCGCCCGTGCGCACCGTGGAGGAGCGTTCTTGCGCGAACGGTCCGAGTGCTGTTGAATTAGGTTAGAAGGGGAGGGAAATTGAGCCCGGAAGGCTCCGTGGACCTGAAGTTGATCACTTTTGGCTTAGTGCGGCTAGGATGATGTCAGAACAGCTGAGGGAAGGAAGGAGTGAGTTCGCTTGCCACGTGCTTCACTCGACCACCTGGGCACGCTTTCACTGTCCCTTCATTCGCAACTCTGCTTCAGCTTGGCCAGATGAACGATGCGTTCTTCTCGCGTTTTCTCGTGAAATCTTGTCTAGATTATGATGCGTGGAGTTCCTATCTGGCTCGCCACCGTCTTGCCCAAAGTGCATGCGGTGACATATACCTTCTATCAGGACATAGCAGGCTTAGCATATTGTTGAGATAAACCTGTGGAGATACTGCAACTTCAGACTGCTTGTATGATGACGATGAGCGGTTACAAGTTTAGTGTTTCACTACATCGTTCTTCGCTCTTTCCCGATTTCCTCACGTCCCAGGGTCTTTCCCGTTAAGCCGTTTGTTTGGGTCTAGAGATAACGTCATTGGGGATTTAAGAGTGTGTCAAAGTTGAGATTGTGACTGCTCAAGGAAGGAGAAGGCAACACGAACTAACTGTCGCAGCACTTGTTGGCAATGTGGTATAGGACTATGATCAGTTGAAGACATGGGACCTGAGGGGTGGTCGTATGGTCTCGAGTCGTGTGAATTCAGTATATTGGTGTGTATTGCGAGATCTGGAGCGATGCCTATGAGAGCTGCCAAGACACATGGATGTTCTTGCGTTTGCTTCGAGAGGTTAGAAGCACAGACTATCGTGTCTGATACGGCAATGCATACGGTGAACGTCACACTTTTACACAAGCGGTGCCCATTTCTCCACCGCTATCCAGTCTAAGCTTCCTCCGGGTGGTTGCTGGATCCTGGATCTTGTTGCCTTCACCTTCACTCAGATCCAACACGCTCCCATTGCAGTATATAGTTCCTGGGTTTCCTCTCCCCCGCCGTGCCTCTTCAATCTCTCCACTGAGTTAAATCAGAGCTGGACGTCGACTTTTTCTCTAGTTACACCAGCCCTGAGCAACCATCAACATGAAGACCACGCTTCTGACCTTGACGGCCACTGTCCTTGTCCGGGCGGCGGCTATTCTCGCTCACCCATCTCGTAAGCTCTCAGTCCTAGCTTATGCAAAAGCCTCCAACTAATGTTCTACAGACCCCAACTCCGCATACGGCGTCACTCCCCGAGACCAAGACCCCAATGATATGGATGCGCTTCTCGGAATCAACTGCCGCGGCAGCGCCATGTGCACGCTGTCGACTTGCGACATTAGCCTCTCGAAGATCAAGGCATACATTGATACTATTGGTATGTTCTACAAAAGAAGTTCGCCGCACTGAGCTGTGCTAACAATCTTCATCTAGACGACAAAGAAGAGTGGGGCAACGGCGACCAGATCGCTTGTAATCTTTGCAGTGGATGTTCCAACCCCGACAAGTGCGACGGTCTCTGTGCCTTCCCACAGAAGCTCAAGTCAGACGAGAAGGTCAATGGCAGCCTGATCAAGAGCAAGATCAATGACCTAGTCAATCACAAATGCGGTAGTAAGTGTACCTTGGCCTACGCTACCTTCCAATACTGACTCGTTGCCAGGATGTGGCAGCTGCCCTACTAAGCCGGGAAACGACGTTAACACTGGCGAGATCACGGTCAACTACGTCACGTCTGGCTGCAAAGAGGGTGTCTGCGATTACAAGCGCAAGGCTGCCCGCGATGAGGTCGCTTCCAGCGTTACAGCCGACGAGACTACTGACGAAGATGTTCCCGTCGACCAAACTATCGATACCGACCTTCCTGCCGACCAGACTATCGACGCCGACGATCCCATCGATACATTTCTTCCTCCCGGAACATCCGAGAACGTACATACCCTTAAGGCCCCTTGGGGTATCAATTGCAAAGGTAGCAGTCTATGTCGTATCTGCAAGGGAAGCCTCAGGCAGATTCAGGAGACATTAGCACTGATGGGTAAGTACATGCAACACACGCTCAGCTCCCTCCCTATCAAGTATGCTTTTACTGAGAGCACTATTCGCAGACGACGACTGGGAATACAAGAACAACGAGGGGATTGTGTGCGCGCATTGTACAAAGACCAGTTATGCGGCCAATTGCATCATCGCCCACAATTTACACAGACCAATTGCCATCAGGGATGTCAAAATGTTGGTCCAGCGACTCAAAGATTTTGGATGTGGACGTAAGTTGGACTCTTCTGTCGCTGTTGTGAAATCGGGGCTAATGGTTCTTAGGATGCGGAAGCGTTCCCCTCCACGTGGGCGCGGCGAATGAACAAGGCATGCTCACTGCTAACTACATAGAAAATGGTTGTCCTGACAAAGATAAACCCTGGGGTTGTGGGCCAAAGTAGCACCGACATTGTGCTGTCGATCAGCAGGGAGCACACGCCTAGCTGGCCGAAGACGTTTATCAAACACTCTCTGTCAGCATTGAGAAAGACTTTAAAAATGATCTGCACGAACTCTTATCTCAGTTGTACCAACATGTAGGCCATAATCATAATAGTCGTAATAAAGTGTCATGACTATACCATAAGCGCTTCAAAGCTCATCCTTGTACACCTCCTCACTCCCCTCCTGCATCTCTTCATCCTCATCGCCCTGTTCAACCTCATGTTCCTTCTCCTTGCCCATCCCCGCACTATCGCCATCTTTGTTCTTCGTTGACTTCTTCTTCGTCTTCTCAGTATCCTGATCTTCGGTATCGATGATACCTCTAAACTCCCTGCCCCTTGGTGTGTCCACAAGGTCCAGCTTCCATCCCTTTTTGCCAGCCAGCTTCCTCAGATTGGCTTTCAAGGTCTCAACATCCTTGGGATCGGCAATGTTGAGCTTCTTCATCTCCTCCTTGGACATCTGCTTGCCGTCGCTACTCGCTACGGTGCCGATAAATGTCTCCTTACCTCCGCCGACAACGACGGATTTCTCAATCACCTTGCCTTCGCTTCCCACAAACGACTTTGCGCCGACTTCAATGCCGCCAATGACAATGCGCTTCGTAGAGCCCTCGAGGCCGTCGGCGAGATCGCGGAGCGGGTTCGTGTTGGCGTCGTCGGCAGCGTTATGGGCAGCGATGAGACGTTCGGCCGCGGCTAGCTTGGCGGATAGCTGTGCTTCTGTCCATGCGTCCACTTCAGACTCTGGAATGACGGGTTCACAGGTTATAGGATGTGCGAGGTTTTCTTGTGGTGGGGTGAAGGCAACGTCGTGGCAGAGGCGGGGCGTGTCGACGATCATGAGGTAGGAGCAGGTGCTGGTTTCTTTGATCATGGCGATTCGGTCGGCAGACTGCGGGTTGCAGTGGAACTGGAGGAGATGTTAGATTGTGGTAAGAAACAATGGAGCTGCAGGGACATACCTGTACATCGATCTTGCGCGGCTTGCCCGTCAAGTCGCACTCAGTACCATCCGACAGCCGCTGTACCATGTATCTGCTAGACCCCTTGGTCTCTAGTCTTGAGATCTCCAGGCCCTTCTCGTCATCGTCGGTCGTTTTGTCCTCATCATCGAAAGCCTCCTTGCTGCCCTCTTCGTTGCCTAGTGTCTTGCGCGCGTCCGCTTTCTTGGTCTTCTCCTCCTTCGGGTACCTTCCCAATACGAAGCTGTGTACGCTCGTGTCCTCCACAGGTGGGTAATGGGGAACACCTCGACTTTGTGGCAGCTGGTGGAACTGCTTGACTTCGTCCTTGTAGCAGAAGCTGTAGCTCCACCAGCCGCTCACATAGTAGATGCAGTTGCCCTTCATGCCTTCGAGTAGCTCCCACCCGCGGTCTGCTGCGCGTATGA